TCATGTCTTTGTGACTCATTCATTATCATTAATGGACGGTTAGTCACTGAGTATCGGTGTGTTTTGGTTTACCGAAGTCCAGGGTTAGCTATACATAGCACAAAGGGTTTTTTGAGAGTACAGTGCTGATGAACGCCCACCGTTAGTGTCAATAGGGTTCTGTCCCTCAGGAAACTCCCATCTCTTACTCTGTCCTCCCATTTGGCAATAACTTGCTTATCTACTGACTTGCCTTTTCCAGAATGTCATGAAGCTGGGCTGGTGAACCTTGTAGCTGAGTTAGGCTGACGTCTTTCACTTGGGACTGTGCACGTAAATTCCCCCCATGAACTGAACATGATCTCGCATCTCTAACCAATATGCTGTCTGCACTGACTTCTGCTAGCAAAGAAAAGATCATCTTTCTCCAGTGGATTTTCCTGGGTAGAAACCACACTTAATGCCAGCGGCATGTCCATCAGTAGATGGCTAAGACAAAATGGACTCGATGATATTTTTGCAGTCCTTTTGTCTCATATTGCTTTTTGGGGGCAGGTTTTTTTTCCTTAGTTATATTTTGCTTGTATATTACACTTTGAGATTTTGTATGTTTGTGGGTTTTGTGTTTTAATTGTGCTTTCTCTTTGTTTTTTGTTTTTTGTTTTTGTATTTCAGTATGTTCGGGTTTTTGTGTTTACTTGTTTGTTTTCTAAAGAGAGAGAGAGAGACAGAGAGAGAGACAGAGAGAGACAGAGAGAGAGAGACAGAGAGAGAGAAGGCATGGAGTTGGGTGGGGAGGAGGGGAGAACATGAGGTGAGTTGGGGGGGAGATAGTGATAAGAATATCGTGTGATGCCTTTAATCCCAGCACTCGGGAGGCAGAGGCAGGCAGATTTCTGTGATTTCGAGGCCGGGCTGGACTGACAGCCACCAAAACAATACAGAGAAACCCTGTCTCATAAAAACCAAAAAAAAAAAAAAGTAAGAAAGAAAAAAGAATATCGTGTGAAAGGTATTTTCAATTAAAATAAAAGTTTCCCCATAAAGTTTTATGGCCTGAAAGCAACAAGCACTCTTGTTGCTGTGAGAAAATGGAGGAGCACCTTAAGGAAGAAGTGTTCATTTTGGCCCACGGTTTGTGAGGCTGTTTTAGACCACTGGGGTAGGGATCCCTGGATGACTGTGTGATGAGGTAGCAGGTTGCTCTGCATCTGTAATCAGGAATCAGGTGGAGAGCAGGTTAGGGAGACAGACAGACAGACAGAGAGACAGACAGAGAGGGAGAGAGAGAGAGATGGTGTCCTTAGTCAGTTCCCTTAGTTCCTTGGTCCTTATTCTCCTTTTTAACCAGTCCAGGATCCCAGGCCACCGGGTGGCACCACCCTCTGTAGGGTGGATCTTCACCTCCTTACTTAAACCTCTTTGGAAACACTGTCACAGACAGACCTGGAGGTGCTTCTCCTCGGTGATTCTAAATCCAGTGCAGCAAACAAGGGAAGCTAAGTCTCAGCATCAGGATAGTACCTGCCATTGCCTGCTGAGTTGTCTTCTATTTGGGGAATACAGTTGCAATTATCCATTCAGAGATGAACATGCATTTGAGTTGATCTCTTTTCTCAACTCTAGACCAACGGTTCTCAGCCTTCCTGACGGTGTGACCCTTTAATACCGTTTCTCATGCTGTGGTGAGCTCCAACCATGAAACCATTTTCGCTGCTACTTCATCACTGTGAAGTGTTGCTACTGTCATGAATCATAACGCAAATATCTGTGCTTTTCTATGGTCTCAGAGACGCCCTTGAGTGGGTGATCAAACCCAAAAGGGGTCACAATCTACAGGCTGAGGATAGTTGCTCTAGACTGCACAGCCCACTTCTCTTCTTCCTCGGGGAGTGCCAGTGTGTGTGGCTCTTAGATCTGGTTCTGAGGACACTGGATATCCACACTCAGTACTGTAAAACCTGGTTCTTCCCTTCTGCATGAAAGATCAGGTTGAAACAGATCAGGGGTCTGAGGAAAAAATGACCTGAAATTTTGAGTGTGCCAGAGGACACACAGGCAATACTCTTCAGCACACTGTTCCAGGGAAGGGCTCGCTGACTAGCGCTCCAGTGACTCAACACATGGAGTCGCACTTATCTGGAGACTCTATGCAAAGGAAACACTTAACAGAGTAAAGGAACAGCCTACGCAATGGGAGAGGATATTTACCGGCTATTCATCTAACAGGGGAATTTCTATAAGTGTGTGTATAATACAACTATTAAACGAACCCCAAACACAAATAGCTCAATCAATAAAATGCAAAAAAAAGACCAAACTGAACTGATAACTCTCAAAATAACTGGGCAATAAACATATGGTGAAAACTGGTCAACATCCTCAGCAATCAGCAAAGAAAATGACACTCAGATCCCATTTCACAGCGGTCAGACCGAATAGCATAGAAAAAGACAACCACAAATGCTGGCAAGGTCTCGAGACAAAAGGAATGATTTGCAGCTGTCATTGCTGCATATTTACCCGGAAGACTCAAGTCAGTGTAGCACAGAGAGACCTGCATACTCATGTAGATTGTGACACTGTGCACAGCAGCCAGGCTGTGGAACCTGCCTGTCTGTGCACGGAGAGATGAATGGATAGAGAAAATGTGGCATTTATGCATGATGCAGATTTTACCATGATAAACAATGAAGCTGTGCCTTTTGCAGAAAAACAGATGCAATGGGAGATAGTATTAAGAAAACTCAGTAAGTCTAAGAAAGAGGGTAATGAAGGGGCTTAATATGACCAAATGCATGACATAATCATTTGAAAACTCAACTTTTCATGCAACAGATACCCACATATCCATGTTTATTCACAAGTTATAATGAGCCCCGTCATTTTGTAAACGGATAAAATTGATGAAAATTGATAAAATAACAAAAATGAGGATCTGAAAAAAAGGAAATGATGTTTCTCATCGCCACTGACGTTATCATTTCCTGTGAGCTCATGCGATAACTCCCAAGTTGTAATATAAGCCACACACATGTGTGTTATACTGTTATATATCCCTGGAGAATCACTCCTCATGAGCAGCGTGCGGGTTAAGACTGAGAAGTATTAAGGAAGTCGGTTTCCAGGGCTGGTGAATCCGAGAATAGCTTAGCTGAGGAAAGCTGAACTCTCCAAACAGAGGGAATGGGGGCTATGAACATGCTGGATAGGGTTCCTCACCTCAAGGACCAAGCTAGGTGGGGGTCACACAGTTCTGGGAGTAAGTTGACAGGAACAATGGTGTCTGGATTTCAAACTAAGAAACAGAAAAAAAAATCTATAGACCAAGGTTGACAGTGTAACCAGACGCGTTTCTCCCACTTGCCAGTTCCTGAATAGCAACTCAGAGGCTAAATATTAATTACAAACTATTTGGGCTATTAGCTCAGGCTAATTATTAATAGCTCTCGCAACTTAAGTGAACCCATTTTTATTAGTCTATATTTTAACACAAAGCTCCTGGCTTGTTACCTCACACCTCACATCTTGCTTCGCGGGCAGCTGTGGAAGTCTCCCAGACTTTTTCCCTGTATCTTTGCTTAGATTTCCCACCTGACTCTGTTCTGCCTGGCTATTGGCCAAATCAGCTTCCTTACTAACCAATGGTAATAAAGCATATTCACAGCATACAGACAGACATCCTACATCAGGACAGAGGCTCCTGCATTGTATAAACTATTCACATTCATGGACAGGCATGGACTGACTAGGAGAGGGGTCAAACCACTAAGGATAGACACATGTACAAATCCGGGTACTGAGTCTTGCAACTGGATTTCATCAGTAGAGCGGTCCAACCCCAGGACAATTCATTAATTTTACTAAGGAAGAGGAATGGGGATTCTTTAACTCATCCAAGCATTTGTTTATGTAGAAAGAGTTATTTGAATATTTGGCCACAGTAAATGTGAAATCCACACCTGATACATTAAAGCTATGTGTGATTTTTCAAGATTGGAATTTATATATTTTATGTGCAGCAAGATTACCTAGAAGAAATAAATAGAAAGTAGCCAATAAATCATCTATGCTGTTTCCATTTATTTTTCACCACACTCTGGGTTCATTTATTTCAATAGAAATATGCATAGAGAAAAAATCAATGGCTTGAAGTAAACAGAAGGTAAGGGAGAGCACAGACACAGCACATTAGTAACAAGGGCAGGCTCACGTGTCAGTGGCGTCAAATGGTCCCAGGACTAACTTCAGCCTCCAGTGTTGTCAACTGGTCCCAGGGTTGACTTCAGACTCCACAAAGTGGAATGGATGTTGAAAAAAAATCATCGTATGTGAACCCTTTTTACTGCCTAGGGATGTATGAGAAAGCAATACCGAAATGACAAGCCCAGGAGGCTCCCTCCTAGTCACAGTGTTCCCACTGCAAGCTGGTATTTGCAAAGCTCAGTGTCTTTTTTTTTTTCTTATCTGTGACTCTTAGATTAGGAACACACAACTGATATATGCTCACAGTGTATGTGAGGGCCCCATACCCTGCAGATAAAAACTCACACCCAGGTCTCCCAGTCACTGTGACATTTGATAAGAATTTCTACTGCTCCTGTACGTGGAGAACCTTCCACCATAGTAATTGTTTCCCAGGTGCCTTATTTTACCCAGAAGAGAGAGAAAAAAGGCACTAAACACAGGCTGGCTGGATTGAATCTCTCTCAGTGGAGCTCAGGAGTCACCACTAGACTTTCTGGGTTAATTCATTAAGAAAGTGGCCTGCAAGGGAGGGATGTGGGGACAGACGGGTAATCAACTGATGGAAGCAAATAACATAGCCGGGACATTTTCTGTTTGTCTTCCGTGAAGCTCCCATGAAACATACCCAGCTGCTCCCTCACTAGCTCACCCTTGAAAGCGCCCTCTGTTTTGTTCTCTGTCATCCTTGCATGACATTCCATTAGGCACTTGGCTTATTTTTAGCCAGACTATCAAAATATTTTTTTTTCAACTGGTCTGTCGCCGCGCTAGGACTTGGAATCCTGTGCCCTGAAGGACGGCACAGGAGGAAAGCAAACACTTCTTAAAAATGGGGAATTACAAATCCAGACCAGCACAGACTTGCTCTGGTAACTAATTACTCTTATTTTCATCGCATTATACTAACTATCCTCACATTATACTAACTGTCCTCACTTTCTTACATGCAACGTGGCTCCACTGTAAGTACAGATGAGCAATTGCTCATTGGGACGTATGCCTATCTGAATATAGAGAATATTAAGTGTTTAGATTATCTGAATTACTCCTTTTTCTCTGAAAGGTTATTGGCAGAAAACATAAAATGTCTTGTAAAACTATTAGTTTAGTTTCTTGGTATAGTATGGTAGAAAGTTTTGGAGTACTGTTGAATATTGATATTTTAGAGTTATATAGTAAGTATCTAGTATTTAAAACTTAAAAGACACTGTTTAGCATCTAGAGAATGCTGCAATTAAATTGCAATAAAATCAAATGAAATAAGTCAAATATATTCTTTTATGTAAATACATTGTACAATATCAAATGGGTTCTTAATTACTACAATCCCAAAGTGATTACATTATAAACATACACATCTGCATTAAACCTACAATCACTCATTTAAATTGAGTATTATAGAATTGAAAATTAAAAAAACAGTTTTGATTACTTGGATGTTATGATCTGTGTCTGCATTTTGCAAAATGCAATTACGAATCAATCCCATTTGTTTTTCTTCTCCAGATGAGTGGAAGAAGAAAGTTAGTGAATCTTATGCTATTATAATAGAGAGATTGGAAGACGACCTGCAGATCAAAGAAAGTGAATTTACAGAACTAAGGCACATCTTTGGGTAAAGCTACCAGAATATTTTTATTCTTTTGAATACATGTCTTCATTATTTATCTTGTTCTTAGGCATGCTGTTTGTGTAAGTATAAAGCCTTCGATACAAATGGTCTAAGACAAGTGTTAGATGCAACCAGACTAAGCTTCACAATGCTAGGCTGTCTGTTCATAAGAATCCATATGGCTCCCAAAGGTTGAGTAAAAGGAACTTGGGCATCAGCCACTGAATACAAGCGGTCATAGTAACAAGTAACCTGCTCTGGAACTAATCACTGCAGTCTCTTATTTGTGCCATCAACAAGCAACACTGCTTTCTTCCACGGGTGGATGATACCTGCCATGATTCTCCTTCGAGAGCTAGGATAAGTTTTCCCAAGCTCCTTGCACTATAGATACGGGGGTGGGTTGTCTCTTAGTATGGCTAAGTATCCCCCTTGGTCTGTAGACACAGGGGGCTGTCTCCCAGTGGGACTGACTATCTCCCTCTTGGTCTATAGACACTGGGAGGTGTCTCCCAATGGGATTGAGTATCTCTCCTTTGGTCTGTAGACACTGGGGGTGTCTCCTAGTGGGACGGAATATCAACCCCCATGGTCTGTAGACTTTAGAGGTTGTTTCCCATGGGACTGAGTATTGTTTTCACCTAATGCTCTTATAATGTGTAACATCAGCTTCCGTCAATAACAAAAAGAAGATAATTTTTTAGTCTGGGATAGTGTCCTGACCCCACAAGACACATGAAGTTTAGAAAAGGGAGGCAGAACCCTAATTTGTACCAGCAGCCTCCTAGAGAAATTTAATCAGATGCTGAGAACTAGGTGTGTTTCAGCGTAGCCAGTTCTCCGACTGCCTCGTTAGGGCTTCTACTGCTGTGATGAAAGGTCACGGCCAATTTGGGGAAGAAGGGGCTTACTAAACCCACAGTTCCATATACCATTCCATCATCAAAAAGCCATGAGGGTGGGAAATGAAGCCGGGTGTGGACCCAGAGGCAGGGTCTGATGCAGAAGTTCATGGACGGGAGCTGCTTACCGCTTGCTCCCCGTAGCTTCCTCTGCCTGCTTCCTGATAAGACCCAGGACCACTCCCAATGGGCTGGGCCCTCCCCCATCATTCTCTAACTAAGACAATGCCCTACAGGCCTGTCTGTAGCCCACACTTATTTAGACGCTCTCTCAGTTGAGGCTCTCTCCCCTCCTGTGGCTCTAGCTGGTGTCAAGCTGACCCAGCACACCGGCCTAAGAGAAATTAGACCTGGGAGAAGTGTCCTTGTCCACTCAGGCCGTCGTTCACATACCCCACTCCTAGCAAAGAATGTCTGCGATTTTTATTTAGAGATAAAAAAACAGAGTTGAGCAATGCCGGAATGGCATGTTCCGCAAAAGAAATTTCAGAAATAGTAAGTGTAATAGGTGCAACATGGCTGGGAAATGATGCCACCCACCTGCCCTGTGTTTTATCTGAACTTCACCCACAGAGCGAGCATGCAGGCCTTGACAGAGCCTCAGTTGCAGTAGGGAGATCGGTACTTGGGAAGAGAAGTCACTGAGGCCAGGCTTCCTCACACAGTGTCATCCCACGCTCGGGTATGAGGAAGCCTACAAAATTCTCTTAGAGATGTGTTAAGCAATTCAAAATAGCACATTCACATCTCCAGCTTTTGTTTCATTAGCGGAGGAGCGTGGTGGTGTAGCTTAGTCATAAGCCATTCCCTACTTATTGATTCTAAGATGTGTACTGACTAAAATGGAACCCTTTTTGGAGGAATTCTTTCAAATTTACGAATTCTAAAACATTTATTTTTCACCAAGTATCTGTTTTGCGTATGCCAAGGCTATCCAGCAGAAACAGTACGTCTTTTCTGGAGGATTTTATTTAACCAATAGACTTGAAGACTTTTCTCAGAGTTTACCAGCCGGTTTCACAACTCCTGCTATAGCTGCTTTTAATCTAACCTTCCCATTAACTGCTACAAATGTGACCTTTTGACTAATTGCTACTGCATGTGTGATGCAGAGATCTGGGCCAATATCACATACACGATATAGCTTAGTCTTCACCATAGTATGGTAGATAATATTAATTGTGTAGATAATAGCTGAGGAATAAGACATTGTGTCCTTCTGAGAATTGCCTGAGTCACAGATCGAGAGCTGCCCCATTGCTCTCATAACTGCTACTGTGGTTGGGGGAGAACCTCAGATAGATATACGACGGTATATAGACGCCAACATTTGCTAAGTGGAAGGGAAAAAAGAAAGCAAGATGATGATTTTTAGTTGTAAAAATAAGATTTATGGTGCCTGGGGTAAGCGCTTAGGAAGGAGAAGGACCTGACTTCAAGCTCGAAGACCAAAGTTCAAGCCCAAGACCCCCACACACAATGGGAGGAGAAAGACAACTCCCACAGTTTTCCTATGACCTTCACATACACACACACACACACACACACACACACACACACACACACACACTGTGGTGCATGTACCCCATCACACACTACGTACACTATGTACATAGTAAATAGTAAATAAGTGTAATTAAAAATAAAAACAATACTATCCAGGTATTGATTATTCACTACCTTTGAAAAAATATGAGATAAAAGGTATCTAGCAAGAGTGGACAAGCACCACAGAAAGTTCAGGAGAGATAAGAAGAGTAAGTGACTTAGCTAGGTACTTGAGTTGAACCAGGAAACATCTTGGTTGGGATAAGGGTTTTGGATCTATTTCCACATCTTACATCTGATTCCTCTGTGCAGTCCCCATGTCCTAGATATGTTTCTTGGTCTCACAGAGCCTCATTTGAATCATAAACAGTGGAGGTGAGTGTCATGACCTCACAGAAGAGTCAAAGAACGAGGTAAAATGGATACTGAGTCGAGGACCAAGTACATCTTAGGCATTGCCTTATTGTGACTGATGGGTTACATAAGAAATCACAAAAGATAGACGGCTTCCTTGTGGAGTACAAAGAACAAATTAGCAAATGTAATAAAAGTTAGAAGAAAAAATAGCTAAAATAAAATGGTCTCATTTTATTTTAATGTAAGAAAATATTTTCAAAATTAACAGAATATAATGTTAGAACAGTTCTTGGTGATAGCAAACTTTGAAATTATAGTGTTTGATTATTATGGGTATTACAAGGCTCTTCAAAATGGATGTCAAATTTCTTGAGAGTAACGGTTGGGTGTCTTTTGGACAAGGCATTCAGGAGATTAACTGGTGAAGACATTTATCTACAGGCATGTCCTGTCCATCAGAAGGGATGATGTGAAGCTACTGAGAGGATTGTGAAGACCTCTGATCTTAAAGAAGTGTTCAATGCCTCCTAATGTTATGGGTTCAATGGGTCTATTTCACATCGGAGGACATAAACCTGTAAAGATGGCATCCAGGAATCTGAACATAGTCCTCAGACAAAGTTGCAATGAACTCTCTTTGCCTGTGATGAGGGACTGAGTAATGGGAGACGGGTCACAGAAAGTTGGTAGGTGGTGCATTCCATGTAATCAAGGAAACCACAGTCAAAGGACAGTGAGTGAGCTGTCTAATTCTGTCTGTGCAGACAGCTCCACCTGGAAAGCCAGTGGTTTTCAGGGCTGAGTTCTGAGAACTTTCTTCTCTTTGGAGCTATTAAAACGACAGGTGACAGGGAAGAAAAAGGAGGCTGTGCTGAGAATACAAATTGTCTTACTGTTGGCTCATCAACCAGTGTTAAGGGTAGTTGGGGAAAAGAGATACAAGATTACACAGGATCAGCCTTGAGAACCTCGATGATGGACACATCGGAGTAAGAGTCTTCATGCCCTGTCCCTGCTTCTGGATTATGTAACAGAATGCTGTTGTGACAGTCACACCAGGCGCCTGATATGCGCCTTTCTCTAGAGAGGCAGAGTGCACGAAGAGGAGCTTCCTTCTCCACACAGGGGCAATTGACACAGTCACCGTGGAGTTCTCTGCTCAGTTTTTCCTCACTTGTCCATTTGCTGAAAGATTTGCTTATGGACTTACCAGCAGGCGTCTTTCCCATCCGTTTTGGGAATACAAACTACACCATGAGCCACCGTCCCCATCAGCTCAAGCATGCAACGTCCCTGGCTTTTACCCTGAGTATAGTAAAGATGCATAGCACTCAAGCTAATTAGGTTTTAAAAAGAACCGCACGGTGGCTGTGTCTGTGGCGATTGCTAGTGGCTTTTACCCAGCGCATAGCAGAGACTTACAGTACTCAAGCTAATTCACTTTTTAAAAGAACTGCACGGTGGCTGTGTCTGTGGCCATGGCTAGGGGTTTTGCAGTGAGCAGCTGATGTGGATGACGAAAGAGATGGAAACAGAATGTTCCTTCCTCTAATGCAAAGTTCCATTCACTCGTAGCTTTGGACGCGTGTGGAAGACATGAGTAGCAGGCAAGAAAGAGATGAAAAGGATGGGAGAGGCGGAGCGGTGCATTCATGTACAGTGTATTTCCTCCGATACCTCTAACGCCTGTAGTTATCAGTACATCAGTGAGTCATCCAGGATACCGTCTATCCATTTGTGGGCCAGACGCCTCTCTTCACTGGTATACCTGATCCCGAAAGATGCTCCTCCATATTGCATGGGCTTTTCATGTCTGCATTTGTCAATAATACTAGTGGGCTAGCTCCAGAAATATAAAAAAAATCTGATTAAGTTAGTTGTCTGCCACACGCTGGGGATGCGACTGAAGTACCTGTGTCCTCTTAGATTCCATCCCCCTTGGAACTCCAACATCTTCGATTAAGGCCCACAAAATAAATGAACTAGCAGAGAGTGGATGGCTGCAACGTTTGGAAGCCAAGCACAATCCTAATAACACAGTTGCTGGCTTAAGTTAATAACGGGGGTTGCAAACTTTTAAGAAACGTTGCATCTTAAATTTCATCCATAATTCTCACTTCCCAACAACTTGTAGACTAATGTCTCTGTTTTGATACACACAATTACAACATTCAAGATCTTGAAGCAGTCATTCCTCAGGAAGACAACTTTTCCTCTCCTGTCATTTTTTTCTGCAAGAGCTGCATGTGTCACACCCCCTGATGAGTGGACATTGCCTACATGTTCTAAAACCTTGGGTTCAATGTATTCTCTAATTTCTCTTTGCATTTTTCATAAGCTGCCATGGCCCTCACCAACAGAACATTCTAATAAGCCCACAGCGCTTCCTGGGGGCTTGGATGGAATTCCTAATTAAGATTAAGTAATCTCCACGAATATTTTTCTAATGGCAAATTATTTCCTTAATTATTAAATAGGGTAGTTGTGTATGTAAAGGTTACTTTCTGCCTCGAAGCGTAACAACTCTTTTCTTAGCCTTTAACGTTTTACCCAGAAAAGTGGGCAGTTGTGTGATCCAATTAGACATCTTCTCCATGATATTTATCAGATGTTATCAGAGGACATCTGATATAACCATAAGTGAGAAATTATTAAAAATGAAAGGTTGGAGAAGTTAGCCAAAATAATATATGGTTATACAAAACACTAAGTGAAGTGTATACAGTTTTTAAACATTAATTCATCTTCTCAAAAGCAGAGAAAGCCCAAGAAGAGCAGAGAGCAACCGCCATCCCCCACCCCAGTTTCACAGGACTGCCTCTTCCTTCTCATACATTGCTCTCGGAGTCCCATGATGTAGAAGACACGGAGATCAACACTCCAATCTTTCCCAAAGAGCATTACCATAGAATATCCGCAAACACACTTACTGAATAGCTTCCAAGCCAGTGCCCCAAACTTACCATGGGAATCGTTGCCGCTCTTACTACCTATTTCTCCCACCTCCATTTATGGAAAATAGATCTCCGTTTTTAGTATTCCCCTCCTCTCCTTCCCAAGTCATTCTTGCCTGGACTGTAACTTTGACAGAGGAGGCTAAAGACGTCCAACCGGGACGCAACACAAGCAGCAAGAGAAGAGATATCATGTAGAGTTATCACAGTCTGCCTGGGACTGGCTTCTAAGCCATGTGTGGGGTATCAGGGGTTCTCCTTGAGGCAAGGGCGCCAGGCCAGACACAGAAGGAAGCACTGAGTGTCACCAAGGTGGCGGAAGATAGCCCACCGTGACCAAGTCCCACTCTCCCCAATGACTTACGTCTTACCAGTCGCTAGTTCCAAAAGGGTCTCTCAGAACGCGGCTGTGCCCTTCGGAAATTCAGCTCACACTCTATCCATGACTTTAACGGCTTTGCCAGTGAGGGAGACTGGATTTTTCTGTCCTCAAAATATACGCCGGGAAGCCGGGCGCACGCCTTTAATCCCAGCACTTGGGAGGCAGAGACAGGCGGATCTTTGTGAGTTCGAGGCCAGGCTGGACCGATAGCCTCCAAAACAATACAGAGAAACCCTGTCTCGTAAAACCAGGGAAGGAGACCTGTCAAGGAAGACCCCAATGGATAGAGCTCTTGAAGCGATGGGCTGTGTGAAAACGTCTTTCTTGGGTTCCATTTACCCAGGAAATGATGCCACAGGACAGGAGAAGTGTTTTCTTCTGCTACTACAAAAACATTTACCAAATTGCCCTCCTGCTGTAGCCTGGAACTCTGGGGTAACCTGAAATCTTTGTTTCCTGGTCATGCTCATTTGCAATTGCCTCCAATGAATTTATCCCCTTTGAAGATAACGTGCATGTTTTTTCTGCCTACACTACCACGCACAGGCTGCTGCACACAAGTGCCCACATATGCACGCGCAATAGAGAGGCAATTCCTAACTTTTGAAAGAAATGTAATAGCAAAACCCGCTAGCCGTTGATGTGTACAAAGCTGGAAAGCTCACGTCCTTGGGGTGGGGGAATCTGAAGAGAATGAGGCGCGTCACAGTTATTTAGAGCTGAAATAAAGGAAAATAAATAGCCACACCCACCCGAGTTATCCTACAATGATATCTGACTGGTTGAAACGTCTCTATTTGCGGAGTATTGGAATATTGCAGATCCAGGACCATATTATCTTGGGCTATACATAGTCCCCGTACGAGCCACTTAGTGTTTGACCTAATGTCCTTTAGAATATCAGAGTATATTAAGTAGGTCAGCAGGCTCAGAATATCATCAGACATAGCTGGAATCTGTGGCAGGGATTTCCCCACTTTTCCGTACCCTCTATCCCCATCAAGGTCTTGAGGGAATGAAATGGCTTACAGTGCTGGAGAGACGGCTTGGTGTTTCCCTGCACACATTGCTCCTACTGAGGACCCAAGTTCGTTTTTTCAGCGCATCAGGCCATTCGTAGCCACCTGTAACTACAGCTCCGGGAGATCTGAGGCCCCCTCTGCAGTCACGTGCTCATGCCCACACAAAGAAGCTCAAGACACCGAATTTAAAAAGTAAAGCTAAAACATTTTATTAAGTGATCTGATCCATGGCGCTTGATTTGTCTTGAGACTATAAAAGCCACCACCTGACTTCAGCTTTGGAATATGCCCTGGGCCTTCATCCCCAGGCCGTGGTCACCCGACTTGGCTGGGAATAAAACCACATCCCACTCCCTCTGAGCAGGGGGACAAGCTCATGCGAACTGAATGCATTTCTAGTGTGGGCAGCAGCGAGCCAGCTTTGTTCATTGGAAGATTGTCTCCAACGTCTATGAAAAGAGACCATGGGGGCTTAGATTCTCTAATTAAAGCCTTTCTTGGGACCTCTCAAGGTCTCTGGATTTACTATGGTCTTCTTTTTAGCAGTGCCCTGGAGAACAGAATTTTCTTTTTTTTTTTTATCTGTTTCAGAATTCCAATAGCTTCTGAAGTTCTTAACCGGGAGCCTGGATGCAAATGGCTCAAGTGTGCTAAGTCTTTCAAGCCTGAGTGCTTTAAAGGTGATGGAATCCTTGGCTCCCCCGTGGGGATGGAGACCAGGCATCCCTCAAGAGCTGCTGCTGAAAATTAAAATAGGCCCAGGGGCCCCTTGAAGCTGACCCAGAGGCCAAGAACATGACCTCATTGCAACAGGAAAAAAAAATGTCCTGGGAGTGCCAAGGACCTGAAGAATTTTTAGCTCTGACTTCATGTTGAAAGGCTAACAGTGGCTCCCAGGGCCCCCCTTGCGAGCCAAGTCTTTGAAAGCACACAGGCAAAGAATTCCTTAATTCATCTCTCTTCTCCTCACCGGCCACCATATCACAGTACCTCCCCATGCATCAGACTTCCCTGATCTGAGGAATCTGACCCAGTCAGAGGACCAGGAAAGTTGGCTGCAGGCAGGGAAGTGTCATATGTTTAGGCTTTAATCTTTTCCCCACCCCTCTTGTCAAGTACAGTACAACCACGTCTCTCTCCCCTCCCCCACCTCCCTGGTTCCCTCTGCTTTTCTACTTTCTGTGAACGTCTTAATTCGTCTACAAACATAATGTGGATGTTTGGATGTAAAAGAAGCAATTTTGCTTTTAGACGTCTGCATTTTCTTTATAAGGGGACTTGGTAGAGTTAGACTATGTATTTATATAATTATATTGACCCACCGGGACACAGGGTGTGTATGTGGGTCTTCCCCTTAACCTGAATCCTTCAACTATTAATACTATTTTCACCAAGTTTCAGTTCTTCATGGGGGCAGGGAGGTGTTCAAAATTCTTCCAGCTGTAGTGACCAGCCTTCCCATCTTAGCAGCCATGACAGGCTAACATGTGCTTGCATGACCTTGCCGTTCCTGTCCTGGTCATTAGGAGGTCAGATGCCTTCCTCGTGGGAAGGAGCCAATCAGAAATTAGCTGGCGCTGGGCGGTGATGGCGCACGCCTTTAATCCCAGCACTCGGGAGGCAGAGGCAGGCAGATCTCTGTGAGTTCGAGGCCAGGCTGGACCGACAGCCTCAAAACCAATACAGAGAAACCCTGTCTCGTAAAAACCAAAAAAAAAAAAAAAAAAGAAAGAAAGAAAAAGAAAAAAGAAATTAGCTGGCGGAGCTGTGCTTTACAGCTCTGGGTGTGCTTTACCTTACCGACAGTGCACAACAGTAACGTGCAGAGCATAGCAACCGCCCTGGGAGGGCCTATGGGCCATAACAACCAGTTGACCAATCAACACAGGGCGGGTCACCCAACCCTGGAAGCGCACCAATCCTGAGACTGTTTCATGCCCCTAGACACTCCCCTTATGCTGCCCTTTAAGATCCCTGCCTCGAGGTTGCTTGGGGTCTTTATCCAGCCATTCGCCATGGTGGCGGGGTGAAGGCCCCGAGCTAATGGGGTTAATAAGTTAAACATCTACAATAAAAGACTCTTTGCTTTTGCATTGAAATGGGCCTGTTGGTGATTTTGGGGTTCAGAATTTGGGCACAACACCAGCAGCACAGAGCAGTTCTGAATTTACAGACCAACACTTCCCTCTCATGCAAAAGGCACCACACTAGGAAGTCAGTTTCTGACCACCTGTCCCGTGGTGCTTTTGCAGCTCTGATGAAGCCTTCAGAGGGGTCAGTTTAAACTACCGCACGGAGAGTGGGCTGTCTCTGCTGCACCTGTGCTGCGTTTGTGGGGGTAAGTGCACAGAACTTGTTTAAACCAGATCTACACCTACGTGGTAGGAGTCATGAGGCCAGCAGAAGGACCCCATCTGACTCAGTTTCTCCTTGGCTTCACTCCCAGAAACTTGCTGACGTTCTGGGAGTGGTGACCCATGCAGACCCTTGCTCTGTACCTCTGGATTTCTGGTTTTGTTTTTTGTTTTTTGGTTTTTCTTTCTTTCCTTTTTTTTCTTCCTTCCTAAACTAAGTAACTCATTTTGCCTGGAAATCAACAGGTGCTTTTTATATTGGGCAGCCAGTTGGGAAATGGGTTTAATTGAAGAACCCTTAAAAGCGTTCCCTAACATATGACCAGGCAGTCGCTTTTACTGTGAGAAATGAGAGGAAGAAATATTGAACACAGAATCTGACAGGGGAGACTGCTCAAAGCCATGAACTCTGCTTGTACATCATTTGATTTTAAAAGGCTCCCAACCATTTAAGTTGGGTCTCAGCCTATAGTAGCAGCTTGATAAAGTTAATGAATTGTCAAGTGGAAGTTGGTAATTTATTTACTCACCAAGCAGAGCAGAGGTTTGTGAACCTAGCAATAGAGTTACCAGTGGACAAACGTTCCCTTGACTTTTCCAAACCCTTGGAACAGACTCATCTTCGTATCTTACCCTTCGTTTTAGGAGCTGGCTGCCCAGCCTCCTCCAGAGCCTTAGTAGCTTCTAACGCTGATGAACCCTTGCAGGATCCTTCATCTCTAGATTGTCACCTCAGCTGTCTGCCAGTAGTTTGTTAGATGATTTCACTTGTAACTGCACTGCCTTCTGTTTTATTTGACCAGGCACTTTCGAGATAACTTCTATTCTGTAGTCCAGGCTAGCCTCACATGGGTGGCAATCCTCCTGTCTCAGTTTCCCAGGTGCCGGGATGAAACACAGCAGCTGCTGTGCCCGTTACATCCTTAGTTTAAAGCAGGTGAAGGAAGCACAGCCCCTGAGCCACGCCTACCACCACGCACAGCACCGGCCCAAAGAGGCAAATGTGTGATGAAAACACGTGTGCTAAGGAACCCTGATGGTGAACAGAATTGCGTAGGGATGGGGCTTGAATGGAGTTGGGCTGACATTTTCACACGTCAGAATGGCATTTATCCTTAAGTCAAAGGGAGACGGATGAAGTTCTTTAGTCTGCCCCTGCAGTAAATCAGCCTTTATTATTTCTCTCTAGGCAACAAGTCACACGTCCGTGCCCTTATGTTAAAAGGGCTCCGTCCATCCAGACTGACAAGAAACGGCTTCCCGGCGCTGCACTTGGCAGCTTACAAGGTCTGCTGTTTTTCATTCCTATACATTCTCTGTTAAGGACAAGCATGAGTGAAGGACTTCATGGGTCCTGATTTCTACACTCTGCCCCAACCAGACAGAACTGGCATAAAATGAGATGGGCACCTTGGGATACTTGGTGCTGGAAGCGACCCTCAAGACTGTTGCAAATGTACATTGGCATAACGTGTTAAGTCATATAAAAGTCACTCTTGTCTTACTGATTTTCACTCATGGTGCCACTTTAACTTCGGATGTTGAACATGCGCTTATTTCCTTACTCACTGAAGAATTTCGTTAGATGCAGAGGGGAAGAAATGAAGATCAGAGTGTGATACCTAGTTAAGCATAGAAAGGTGGTGATAATCTGCCACGGTTGACCCCAGCCCAAAACCTTACACCTGTATTGCTTTTTCTCAATTTCATGCAATTCTATACCAGACTTTTATTTTAGTTGTTGTGTGTGTGTGTGTGCATTCAGATCTTGGAAGAAGGAAGCAGGTGTTTGCTTGCACAAAGATCACTCTACACTCCCTAAACATCTTAAGAGTTTGCAGCATGGGGAACAAGGACCTTTGATGGGGAAGTCCTGTGTATATGTCAATAAAGCACTGTTGGCCAATAGGGAAGCAAGATAGGTGGGACTAGGAGTCCAGGAGGACTCTGGGTAGGAGAAACACAGGGAGTCAAGATGTAACCCCCATAGGGATAAGAAGCCCAGACCCTTTTCTCTGGTAAGAGAAATACTTTGATTGGCAATTATGGGGTAAATACTTAAGTTGGAGATAGGCAGTATAAAACAAGCAAGGCCAACAGCTTCATAATTAATACAGCGTTTGGTGTGTTATTTGGGGACTATAAGTTGGCAGAGCCCAAGTGACTAGTGGGGAAAAAGCAAAGCGGCTGGCAAGGAAAAGTCTTCACTCTACAGACCTCATTTTTCTACTATATTATTTTCTTTTCTAATGCTGTGATTGAATACTTGGACAAAAGCAACTCTGGGGAGAAAGAGCTTTTTTGTCTCATAATTTAAGCTTACAGTTCACCATCAAAGGAAGTCAAGCGGCGGGAGCTAGGAGGGCTGGTTACATTGCATCCACCGTCAAGAGCAATGCAACCAGCCCTCCTAGCTGCTGCCACATGAATGGTGACACCCACAGTGGACATGTCTTCCTACTCTGGTTATCACAGTCAGGATAATTCCCCAAAGGCACTCTCAAAGGCCAACATGGTCTAAGAAGCTCTCCTTGGGACTTTATACCCAGGTGATTTTACATTGTGTGGAGTCCACATTCAAAATTTGCCATCTCCACGATTCAGATTTTACGTCCCTTAATTTATCCTGCAGATACCTTAAATCTGGTCTCTGCACCTCCAGTCAATGCCTGGTTATTTCAGGGGAAAGGGCAGCTAGGTGCTGAGTTTTCTTTCGAATCGCCATTCATTCTTCTAAGTCACACACAAGGTCTTTCCCGAAAGGCAGGGAAGAGACAACGAAGGAGCCAAGAGCAATGGAAAGAGAATGATTGAGACCCTAGGCAGTTTGTGAGACACTGACCCTGTTTAGGACTGGAGACCCCCCTTTCTGTGATGTCCCCTGTGACACTGCCACATCGGTGGTTTCTGAAGGCTATAGGGCCTCGGACATTTTCGACCGCGTTCTGCTCACCTCTGTAGAAACTGAATTTCCATTTCAGTTTTTCTCTACCGTTTCTCAAATTAGTCTGTTACCAAGGATTGCATCCACTGTACCTTCTTCAGAGGAAGAGGAGGCCAGGGGATAGGCTCTGAGGATAAAACATAGACAGCCTCCTTTTCCGTAGAAAGCCTGGGTCCTTTACATACCTAAAAGCCAGCAAAGGAAGCTCACATAAGGTCCCCATGCCCACCGCAGTTCTTCACATCAGCGAATTCCTGCCTGTGGTGAGCTCAGTCGGGTTAAAACATTAAATTAACCATCACAGGCAAATGTGATTTTTTTTTTCTTTTCTAACCCCCACACAGGTATTTCAGGCCAAAGTTTGGGAGAGCGCTGCTTTGCACTGCTCCCATCTGTAGTTCTTTTGTAAAAGCTTAAAAATTAGAAAAATTAGAAACGCGCGCGTGAGATGGAACCGGGACCAGCGCAGTGGAGCGGGAGCCATAGACAGCAGGAGCCATAAAGGGTACATTAGCCACACCTATTACAGCGGAGGGAGAGCGAGAGGAGGGACACAGACATGATAAACAAGAAGGGAGTAGAGAGAAGGAGAGGTAGGAGAAGTAAGAGAGTGGAGAGGACCCGGATGATGGCTTGGAACTTAAAAGGGGGCGCTTGCGCATGAGCAGTGAGTGAAGTAATAATGATGTAGCCATATCACCATGCAGTGCCCCGCCCATTGTCAGGAGGGTGGGGTCAGCATAATGCCGGAAATTCTAACACCATCTTTACCCCCAAACACTTCTCACATCTCTTCACATCTCTTTGTTTCTGCTTGTAATTTTTCCAGCTAAAGTACCTCTTAGCTCTTCTCTTGTCGATCCATTGATAGGTACTTAAAGCCAACACAAGCTGCGCTTAATTTTGGTTTGTGTCTTCAACTTTCTGTAGTAGCACTCACAGTTCCTGGGTGGTTTGTGCCGTCTGCACACCCGATCCGTGAACTCCCACCATCAGGACTGAGGATTCCCCATTTGATTCTTCGCCATAGAGAACCTGGAAGCTCCAGGATGAGTGTCCGGGACCTGACAAGTGTCTTGGTGTTATTACATACAGTCCTTGGTGCTCACTGGTACAAAGCAGCTTTAAAAGTGTTCTCAGCCCAGCTCCTAAACTAGTTGTGTCATCTGTCAGCTTCAAGATTGGCTGGCTACCTTACCGCTGCGTCTTCAGAAAAACTGTCTTTCCCTGGGCCCTCCAGTTTTCTTGTCTCCAAAGCAAGCAGACAGAGCGATAGGGCTTTGGGTAGAGCTCACTGATGGAGTGCTTGCCTGCCAAGCTTGCACAATGTGCTTAGACTTGCTCCCAGTGTCACCTCTCCCTCTGAAAGAAAAGAAAAACTGGAGTAAACATAATTATCTGTTTTGTTAGGTGATTTGGGGTTTTAAAAAAGGACAAAGCACATTCAGTCCTGGCAAAATAACCATTCCATGAAAAAGAGTAAATAAAATTAACCATCAGTGTGCAACTTAATTTCAAGAAACAATTACCAGACACTGTGCAATATCCATTTTACATGGAAAATAGAAAGAAATGGGTCTTGTCATATGGTTTGTAAGTTAGAAGGGATGAGAATCTCATCAAAGGTCTCAGCTCATACTTAAAAGATTTCTTCCCATGTTCTGTAAAAGTAGAATCCCCTTACACAGGTTTTGTTCACATACAAATTGAGGGAAACAGTCAGCTAATAACAGACAAAATATACTCTTTGGAAACAAACCCATAGGCAAGTGTCTTGACAAGTTTGCTTCAGATATGGCTTGGTTGCAAATTTGATTTACAAATAGCTCAGAATAAGGCAATTTAGAAAGGAGTCATTTCCTAAGAGCAGCAACAAATTTGCCCCCTCTCCCTCCCCCTACTGGGAGCCAGCGGTGTGGTCAAGGAAACAGACCCTGTCTCAGAAGGCAACATGAACAAAGCCAACCTAACTTCTGCCGTGTCTCTGTGCTGCTTAAGTTAGCTGCATGTGATGTGTGGTTGCTTCGCAGGAATCTTCTGAAGCCGTTTGCCATTTTGAAGGGTTTGATTGCAACTTAGTTGTCTCCATGCTTAAATTCATTAAATAGGCTCACCCAGCTGCAACAGGCATATGTCTCCCTCTGCTAAAGCTCTAAGGGGAGAGTGCAGTTTCTTCTCTGAACCCTTCTCCAGGGCTCTGAATGTCCAGCGTTTATATTTTGATACTGTGCACCCCTAAAATGAAATGCAGATATTGGAGAGAAAGCATTGAACCTTGATGTGGTTTGGGAAAGGCTAAATGGGAATTCAGATGAACGAAAGACTGAATTAGACCCTCTAACTTAGCCCCGAACCTGCCTCACATGCAATGCACAGGAAAATCTCATTTCATGATAGTTCTTCGATGGTTCAAAAGTAGTAGTTTTTAATCCAAGTCATTTTTCAGCATTTCATAACTTAAAAGTCGATATTGAATGATTTGGGTTTGTATTCCATTCTGTGCATTTCTACCAAGTCTTTGCCTTAAATCATTTTACACATTTATTATAAGGGGAAGGAATCAGAGGGAAGGGCCAGGGTTTTTCCTACAAAGACCACTGAGTCTGAGGCCCCTGAGTTTCTGCAGTAGATCCTCCTCTGGTGACCACTGCACTCGTCACTTGTACCTAGCCTTCCTCCTTAGTGCATGTATTTTATAAAGAAGTTGGGAGCTTTGTTTCAGCTCTCACAAGACACAGAACCCAGAGCTACTGTCCCATGGCTTGCAAGGGCTCCTCTCATACTGGGGTTATTCAGCCTCAGATCTAGGCATTGTAGATTAAATAAGTCTGCCGTGAGGGTGTATTCTACTCATGGGAAAGCATTCTGGGGGCACGCCTATCTCTGTTTCTCAACATGGCCCTGGCCACTGCCCTCATTAAGAATTTTGACAACCAAAAAGACAATGCAATCCCAAGATGAAAATTAAGAACCAATGATTTAGAGGGGAAATTAAAAAGATTCATTAACTTAAATTGATTTTTTAATACAAGTTGTCTTCTGTTTGTTCAAATGATTTGACTAAGGATCACATTTTTCCCCAAATGGGAGTTTGTCAAGGAAGTAATAAGAAATTCTCTGAAGAAGAAGGGGAAAAAAATCTAAGAGAAGAAATCCCATTTTTTTTGGTATACTTAAACAAAATTTCCAAGTAATGATGACTTTTTAAAGCAGTGTGTAATAATGAACCCTCATTGTAACTAAACATTTATGTTCACAAATCGGAGTAATCACTAACACACAAATATTACCTTCCTTCAGTTCTTACATCAGACGGCTTTATTTCCTAGAATACCTTCGCTCCAAAGCCTGAATTAACTGAGTCTCCAATAAATTCTTACACAATCATAATATGAATCCCTGGTTCATCTCTGTACTTATTCTATGTTGGGGCCCATCATCTCCAATCTGTGTGTTCAGTGATAAGACAGAAAAACACATAAATGAATGTTGGAGACTAGAGCAACCAATTACGGGCACTAACATGGAGACTCGGTGCTTCCAAGATATGAAGGAGGGGACAGAGACTGATGCGCGGTGTGAATGGGTCACTCCAGGGTTCTCTCCCAGTTCAGCTCTGGATGATTTCCCCATTGCATTGCACCATGATAAGTGACAAGCATTGTAACCCACCTAGCGTGTGTTACAATGAAAACTTCACGACAAGGGCGGGACCATAAAATAAAAGGACTTTGGAGTCAGGAACTGGGGGTGGCTTGGTGTATTCAGAAAAGCATACGATTTGGAGTTAGTAGACCTAAGTTCAAATCCTACCCCTGGCTCAATATAAACATCTGGAATGCCTGTTAAGGATGGCCGAGAAGCAGTGTGGAAGGACTGAAACCTGCAAGGAAATGGCTCCAAGTGGTGCCTTCCTAAGTAAAAGGCAGGAGCAAGATTGGTGGGGCCGGGGGCGGGGCAGGGGGAGGGGGCGCGGGGATCACAAGGCAGACCTGATCAGAGACATGTGCACTAGCTCCCCAGGGGAGTAGACCTACCCCCTAACGCGCTGACTGGCCAGCCTCAGCTCTGTAGCCCATCCCAAAGGATGGGAAAATAAAGCCCAAGACTGAGAGGAAATGCTGTGGTCAAAGGCAGCCGTGGTGTTTTCTGAGTGGGGAAAGACGTGGTTGGTTGGTTTGTCTATTTGTTGGGTTATCTCCTTTCATTGTGGTTCACTGGCCACCAGGCTACAAGGACAAAAGGGGACGTATGTGGCATGTGCGGCTTTGTAAGGCCTATGAGTCCAATGGAAATAGCATTCCCATTCTGAGGGGCTGCTTCAGGGTTGCATACAGCTCAGTTTTATTCCATATGTATACATGTAATGTATAGGATGGGTTCATATTTGGCAGCATGGTCCTACCATACAGCCTGGAGCACAAAACCTGATTATCTAATGGACAACAGATAGAGAGTGTATACAGGGATCTGTGGCAAAGGTCGCACTTGAGATAAATCAGGTATCCAAGGTTAGGGACAGATTCTAGATAATGTCAAGTCTCTGTGTCTAGATATACTGTCCGGGTAGGGAGGGATCCAGGCTAGGAAGGAAGTCCTCCATTTTCTGACATGCTCAGAGAGCTGTTGAAACTTCAACCTTAAGTGCAGGTTTCTCCAACACCTGCTTATATGTATTTGTTGTTTTTGGTGACACAGGTGGTTTTCATTGTTAACACGAATTAATGTCATTTGGCAAGAGATCACCATCCCCAAAGAATGGTTTGGGTCAAGAGTAGCCCATGGTCATGCATGTGAGAAACTGGTGTTTGATATGAGAATGCCTAGCAGACTGTGTGTCATACGATCTCTAGACAATTGGGCTTCAGTGTAAAAGAAAGCAAGCCAAGTAAGACAACAACAATATTCCTTCATGGTTTCCTGCTTCTATAGTCCCGCCATGAACTCTTGAGTAAGTTTATCCAAAGGTGGACTCTGACCTCGAAAACTGAAATGAAACCTCTCTTCTGGTCAAGACAACAGAAAAGCAAACTGAAAAATATGGTTCACACTCCATGGTCTTTAGCTTTCTTGTTAGACACAGGACGGGGAGGCAAACATTTACAGCATAATTTTGCTATTTGAAGATCTTTGCCTAAGCTTTAAACTTTGCCAAAACTTTTTTTTCTAAGCTTTCTTCTGTATGTATATGGCAATGTTAAGACATTAACTTGGTTTTTAGTTGTGGAATTTTATTACATTATTTAGTTTGAAATTGGGACGCAGTTCCTAAATGACCCATCTAATACAGATTCCTCTTTCCTGTCATTCTATGCATGTGTAAGCCAAAAGTTACAAGCATTGAGATTATGTGTCATTTATTTATTTATGACTCATTTATTTATTGAAACAGGGACTGGCCTCAGCCTCCTAACTACTGGCATTACAGGCACACAGCACCATGTCTGACTTGAGTTCTGACTTTAATAGAGGCTTGGACACAGTTGGCATTGTGTTTCTATCAATGTAGGGACTCAGACATTTTATTAACTCTGCCCCTTGATGACCAGGCACGCCCATTGATGCAGCTACGTCATCTCTATGTCACTCGCCGCGGGACTCAGTGTGCCTGTACACCCTCCCCTTTATAAGTCACCTCCAACTCCCCTTCTCTCTCTCTCAGCTCTGCACGGGTCGGTTACCTCTCATCCCCCTTTCCCTCCCTATCTACCAATAAAGCTCCATGTGGGATCATTGAGTCAGTTTGCGTCTCCTTACTGGGTAAACCTAGACATTTTAACAACAATCAACACATGGGGCTTTGTGAATACAGGACCTATCACATCGCCCTTGCATGTTCTGAACAAGGTTAAGAAAATGCTGACCGATGTCGTCTATATCCCATGATGGCATTGTATTAGGAAGAAGCCATCGTGAAAGCCCACTGAGATGTGCTTTGTTTTACATTGGTTATAGGTTCATCGTAGAAGAAATATTTCAGTTTCATCCCTAAAGGAAGAAAAGCAAACTTAAATCCTCTATATTCTTCCTGTAAGTGTTTGACCTTTTGGGAGTTAATCTTAGTGACTAAGAAGTCGTATTTGTTGGTGTGACCTACTTGACCTCTTTGGGGGTTAATCTCAGTTGCTGGGAAATCGTATTTGTTGGCGTGACCTACTTGACCTCTTTGGGGGTTAATCTCAGTTGCTGGGAAGTCGTATTTGTTGGCGTGACCTACTTGTAAGATTGATGTTCTTGCTAGAGCCTTGCCCTAGGCAAGCACTCTTTCCACCGTCCACAGGAACGTGGCAAGGGTTGGTTGCTGCTTCTCTCTACTGGTAGCCACCTGAGGTGTTCTCCTCATTAGTGCAAGCTTTTGCCAGAAGTCACATTTGGGCTTCTTTGAGGATGTAAGCCTCACCCAACCAAAGAATCAACAACACCTTGTGCACCGCTTCCCCACCTGATCTTAGTGGGAAAGAAAGAAAAAAAATCCACTCAAATTGTATCTCATTACAGGATAGCCCAGAACTGATCACATCCCTGCTGCACAGCGGAGCAGATGTTCAGCAAGTGGGGTATGGTGGCCTCACAGCCCTCCACATCGCTGCGGTTGCTGGTCACCCAGAGGTGAGTCCTGCCTCCCTCGCGCGAGGAAGAAAAAAAAAAAGTTGCCTGTCGTCTCTGACTGTCCCCAGTTGTTTGAAACACTGGATTTTCGGGTCCTAGGAGCCGTTTTATGCTTTGTTTAACTACTGGACACACTCATTTTCTCTGACAGTAAAACTCCGCTGTATAAATGTGCCTTTAGACTGAGTTTAGCTCCTTATGTAACCATATCCTCAAACATCAATTAACATTAAGGTGTCTGGTTTTATGCAGTGTTGTGCAGTGGTTGAGAGCAAACACTTTGGATTAAGGCAACTCAGATGCCACAGGTTCGTCTTCTAACTTTGAGGACGTCGCTGAGTCTTGAGACCTACATTCTTTGTTTGTCAAACAGTAGTAGAAGGATTGGGATACAGCTCGGTGGTCGAGTATTGGGGTACACATGCAAGGTTCTGGGTTTTGTCTCCTGAAATGTAACTGTAGGCTCATTGCAGCGTTTAATTAAATTTTCCACACAGAGTACTCTGAAGATTGCTTCCTACAAAGTGAACAGAGAGACACAAGTCTGTTCTCTAATCTACCCGCTCATACCGTGTATGAAGGAACGTTTATTGAGCACAAATTATGCCCCAGACTCTGCTCTGAGTCCTGAGTTGGCAGGGCAAAGACATCAGACAAAAATCTCCATTTCTGTAGAGCATAGTTGTAAACAAGAAGTCAGACAATGAGGAAAAAAAAGTATCATACAATTTGAATTACCAGTGAGTACAAAGAGTGAGGAGTATGGGGAAATCCTTTCTATAAGCTCTAAATCAAAGACTCCGAAGGACGCCGTTACTGAAACAGAGACTGCGGTGGGAGGGGACAGACTTGACAGGGGAGGGGCACAGGCTAGAGAGATAACACACTCCAAGGCCCAGAGGGGAAGGAGGAGCCCCGGCAGTCACAGGGACTGTGTGGGATACAACATCAGATAAAGTTATGAAAGCACATCTGCATTTTGTCTTAACTTTGTCACAGTATTACATTTTAAACAGACTACTGTGACAATATTTGGTTAATGTTACCAACACTCAAGAGTGGTTTTTATGGTCTCTGATAAATTAGATATCATGTCTCCTGAGAGAAATGGTCTTGTAATTATAAAGCCATTGGGTAATGATCTGTCTGGAATCCTGGTCACTGTTTTCAAAGTCCAATTGCTGTTACCGTTAAGGTAACAGAAGATGCTTTCCATCTCCCTTTTAAATAATTATTTATGAGAATTATCATATTCTGAAATAAAACTGGACCTTTATCGAGAAATGCACATTCCCTCAACCAAGTGTGATCTGAGACACAAATAGAGCCACATGTAATATCAATGGAATACATTTGAGCCGCATCTCTTAAAAATGCCACTCAATAGGGCTCACGTTTAAGGCTCTTGTTGAGAAAAAAGAAGTTTCCTTTATGCTTTTCTTCTCATTACTATAAAACCTTACTCACTAAAAACACTAATCCAGAGATCAAGATATATTGTAAACATACAGAGTCAGAACTACTTATGGAGAGAGGCACAAATCTCAGTAAATTCAGTTGAATGCATTTCTTTCTGCCCCATCCAAAAAAAAAATTCAACGAGAGCCATGAACATTAAGAAATCTGAGTGCAAAAACTGGGGAATGGATGCTGCACTCCCCTGAAAGTTCAACTCTTTAGTTGCTTCTGTGTCTTATGACCTAATGGCTCGCTGTGATAAGTTTATAAAGTAAAGCAAACCTCACCATGGGCATGGATATCTGGGAAAGCCACGTGTATAAATTTCAGGACTGCACCCATGGGTACCGCAGAACTCACCTTATGTGAATAAGGGATGCTAACATTTAAACTGGTAATTAACTAATGGGGAAGCTTCTTTTTACTATATATATGTATTATAATTATATATAAAATTTAAAGTCATATATGTAGAAATGGAAGCAGAAATCACACCAATAGCTTAAAGCTGAATTAGGCTGAAGAATGGAAGAATGAGTTCAAAGATGATTGATGGGGGATGTCCTTCTCTATATATGTTTGTCTTATTGGTTGAAGAATAAAACACTCTTTGGCCAGTAGTCAGCAGAGGCAGGAAGATAGACAGGACTAGGAGATGAAGAGAATGCTGGGAGAGAGACACCATGTAGTCCCCAAAAGAGTAGCAGGTCCGATAAGCCAAGAGCACATAGAAATACATAGATTTATAGAAATGGGTTAATAGTTAAGACAGAGCTAACCAATAAGAAGCCCTAGCCATCAGCCAACAGACTTATAATTAATATAGCAGCTACAGAGGATCTTTAAGTGGGAGGGTCCTTGATTGTGCGAGGGAGCTGTGAGCAACTGCTGTCCCAGCACTGAGGAAAACCAATGGGGTGAAGCATCTGTGTATGACGTGATGCTGAGCGCCATGGGTAACATGTACAGTTTCCTTACTAAGCCAAGCGCAGGGTGGTGCATGCTCTCTGTTTCACTCATGAGGCAGTGTGTGGGGCAATGCCCCCGGATGAGAGGGAGCTACCTTTCATCAGTAGTGACATCCTTCTTCGCCCACCTTCTCTGTGAAACCATGCCCGGCGCCGAGTCTGACAGATCTCTTGTCTCCACATATCAAATTCAGACCCTCCATTAGTGTCTCCTGTGCGTTTGTGTCCTCCTGCGATCGTGGGTTCTGTTCAACAATTTTACAGTGAAATTCCCATTGACTTGGGCAGCTGTCTGCTTTAATCGTGGACTGCAGGTTCTCAGATGTGTGGATTGCCAGCTGAGGTTCACATGAGAATTTGCTATGCTGTAAAAGGGAGGAAAATGCTGGCTGTCTTTGGCTCCAATATTTCTCTGATTTATCCATCTACCAACTCATATGCATATATTGATTTATTCAAGGCCCGAACCATCAATAAACATGCATTGAATTCCCTTCTCTTTGGGTAAGAGCATGGGCATACATCACACAATCTCCTGAGCGTGGAAAATAGAAGGAAAGAGTTTAGGTTTGCTATTTTCCCTGTTGCTGTTGTAATGTGCTATTTGGTCTCCTCTGAGAACATCTAATGTTAATCTCAAATGATACAATGAAGAAACTAAGGATTGGAAAGTTGAACGATGACCACTGTGGAGGGCACTCGGGTAAAAAAGAAATTAACAAGACAAGATTCTACCCGTTCACTGTCAAATCTCAGCCCTCATCTTAAGGGGAATAAGAAGCAATTTATTCTGGAGCCATTTTTTTTGGTGACCACAGCCTGGGGACACACATTTAAGTTACCCTGAATTCCATGTCCCAACACAGAAGCAGCTTCGTGAGGTTTGTCAAGTTTGATAAAACGAAGAAATTCATGAGTCAAGTCAAGTTTAAAATACATTGGTAGGTTCACCAGAGAGGCAGGCACACAGAGATTGTGGCGGCAATTCTACAGTTCAAGACGCCATCCCATGACATTCCTAGTGTTCTGCAGAGTTAATAGCTAAGAAATTTTTTATTATAGATATTAGTGCAGAGGGGGAAGGGACAGCTCTCCAGAAGCTGTGATTACCCTCTGAAGGTACAAGATTCCAAGCTGGCTACAGTCCTGAAATTCCAATTGACACACACTCCTTTCAGGAGTGTTGTGGACATGGCCAGACACAGCTTCCTTTTGAGGAATTTTCCGTCACATAACCCGACTTCAAAGCCATGATTTTATAGATAAGGGGGCACTATTCCACAGTGACCCATTGTTGTTGCTACAGCAGGATTTATTGTCACAAAATACAAAGAAAATGTGTTCAGACAGCCACAGATAAAATTCAGGAGTTACTACACCAGCAATGAAGGCATCATTGACAGAATCCAAGAGAGATTTTACCTGGCCCTTACTGTCTGAGTACAAGGATCCAGTGAGATAGTGTGTATACATACACAGACACACAGAGACTCATACACACACACACACACACACACACACACACACACTGATAGACTCTTTCACACATACACACACACACGATAGATAGACTCACACACATACACACATAAAGAGATATACACAGTGATAAAACATACACATGCATATATACACACATTAATGCATATATACATACACAGATGCACACTACACATATGCACATACACACAGTGTTCTGTCCCTAATCATCTAGAATGCTGTCACACTCTTCCCCCTGTAGTTCTTTCTACATCGACCAGTAGACTAATCGATCACCAATAGTAGGTCACTTTCTGACAGCAAAGGAAAAGAAGATAGCAGTCAGGGTCCCCTACATCATGTGGAGGGTGGTGGTGGTGGCCATTTGTCAAAGAAAGGCATAGGTACAGGGAGACACTGTGAAGCTAAGGGCATCACATTCACGCTGAAGGTATTCTGTCCTGCCAGTTTCCAGCTTGACAACACTCACCAACGCATGGCTCAGAAGCGCTTCCAGCTTCCAGTTATACTGGAGTTTGTTTCTGATTTCATGGAAATGTATAGTTGATGGTCTTTCAGTCCACTCTTAACTAAATCATCCCAGTGTTTCAGGGGAGGGTTTTGCTTACTAAAAAGCTCCCAGTGCTCTCCGCATTATTTCTCTTGTAATGGCTTTAGTTTCTCTCCCCAGAGGCATAGACAAGGGAAAGCTTAAAATCGCAACGTACATCTATCTCTCCCTCTTCTTGCTCACGAGTTCTCCTTTTCGCTGGTGAATTTATAGTGTGATGGGACCATATCTGCCTCCGGTATCTCGTGAACTATCCTTTGAGAGCCAAACGAACAAGAAAAGGAAAAGATTAAAAAATTAACACATTGAGCGGAGAGCTGCTAGGTTTGAGCTGGGGGCTGATGGGGCCACACGCACTTGCTGCCGCCTCTTGCTGTGTCTTTCTTCCACAGCTGTGGAAAGGATGGCCGGGCTTCCACAGACAGCTATTCTGAGAATCTACTTCTAACCTTCTAACAGGGACCCTCATCCCAGGGGAGCCGCAAGCACCCTAGAGCTCACTTCCCCAAGGAATGTTTACTGGC